ACCTCATCTCTACAATAAATCAAAAAATTAGCTGGGCATGGTAGTGCACGCCTGTAGTTCTAGCTACTTGGAAGGCTGAGGCGGTAGGATCACCAGAGCCCAGCAGGTCAAGGCTGCGGTGGCCAGAAGCAGCCACTGCACTCCAGTCTTGGCGACAGAGTGAGACTCCGACTCAAAAAAAAAAAAAAAAATTTTGTTTTGAGGCTGGGTGCAGTGGCTTACACCTGTAATCTCAGCACTTTGGGAGGCCAAGGCAGGAGAATCATTTTGAGAGTAGGAGTTTGAGATCAGCCTGGGCAACATAGTGAAACCTCCTCTCTACAAAAATTTAGCCAGGTGGGGTGGGGTGGTGCTTGTAGTTTCAGCTATTCAGGAGGCCAAGGAGGGAGGATCACTTGAACCCAGGAGTTGGAAGCTGTGGTGAACCATGATTGTACCACTGCACTCCAGCCTGAGCGACAAAGTGAGACGGCATCTCAAAAATAAATTAAAATTATTTTGAAACAGGATCTCACTCTTGCCCAGACTGGTCTTAAACTCCTGGCCTCAAATGATCCTCCCATCTCAGCCTCCTGAGTAGCTAGCTGGGACTACAGACATGTACCACCATGCCCAGATAGAAGTCATTTGATCCTTACCATAGTGCTGTCAGCTGGGAAGGGCAGGCCTCACCTCCCTTTTTTTACAGAGTGAGAAGCAGAGGTCCACAGAAGTGCATTGCCAAAGGTCCCGAGGCCACTGAGTGCTGAAGGTCAGTTTCATCCTGTGGAGTGCACACACCATCACAGCTGGGAGAAGGGATATTACAAAGGTGCCCTAGAGCCAGGTGCAGTGGCTGCCCACGCCTGTAATCCCAGCACTTTGGGAGGTTAAGCAGGAGGGTCACTTGAGGCAGAAGTTCAGTACCAGCCTGGGCAACATAGTAAGGTCTCGTTTCTACAAAAAATAAAAACAGGAAAAGGAAGTGCTGTGGAGTCAGTGTGTTTAGCAGCGAAAGTTCCAGAAACAACAACCTAATCTACAGTTGAAGGGGATTTGCCCATAATGCTATGCCAAAAGTCATGCTGCCCAGCCAGAGAGAGGTTTCTTTTCAGAGGGGCTGGATCTGAAAGTCAGGTTTAGCTGATTCCCTGGAACAGTTTCCTTACCTGCAAAATCAGCTCTTGGATGTCCAGGGGGGCGTCAGGGCCTGTGCCAGCCACTGGGCCAACACTGGTGTGTATTTATATTTTTTTCCAACTCCGGAAGAACTTTTTTTGGGTCCTTCCTCTGCTGG